AGAAGGCAGAGGAGGAAGAGGAGGAGGGGGAGGAGGGGGAGGGGGAGAGGGGAGGAGAGGGGGAGGGGGAGGGGGAGGGAGAAGTAGAAGGAGAAGGAGAAGGAGAAAGAGAAGGAGAAGGAAAACTTTTCAAGGTAATGGGACAACAAAAAATTAAAGGCAAATGTACTGAGCATAGAATTCACTTGACAAAGGGAGAGACTCTATATGAAAGAAAATTGTTCCTATGACTTAAAAAAATAACACTAGCAAATACATGAAATACCATTTCAATAAACTTCCAACTTGTTCTATGCCCAGGTAATGATTTATTTAAGACATATTAAATACAACCAACTCATAATGTTTCAAAAGAATTTACCCAGATGTTTAGAGTTGGTCTGAAGGGAACGTGCTATGTACTTGGAATGGAGAGTTCCTAAGAGATGGGGCTGGTAGTCCAGATTTCAGGCTTTCCTATGGGATTCTTATACTTGACATTTTAGAGGGAAAGCAGAGCAAAACAAAACCAAAAGTTATCATAAAAGTACCCAGATTCTTTATCTAGCTGCAATGTTAAACATATTAGCCTTTAGCAGGAGTTTATACTTTAAAATGAGGTGATTAAAAATATTTGAAGTGGCTCTGGCCAGATGGGTCAGTTGGTTGAAGCGTCAGCTGTGCACTAAAAGGCTGCAGTTTGATTCCTGGTCAGCGCACATACCTAGGTTTCGGGTTTGATCCCTGGTCAGGGGTGTACCAGAGGCAACTAATCCATGTTTCTCTCTTCTTTCCGTCCTCTCTTTCTAAAACCAATAAAATATATCCTTGGGTGAGGATAAAAAATATATATTTGAAATGGTAGCAATGCAATGGTCAGTTTTGGCAATCCAAAAAAAAGAGTGACCTGCACAGCACTGGCCAGCTTGAATCTAACAACATGGGATGGTCACATTTCCCCTGGGTAAAGTACAACACTTAGAACAATGACGAGATCTCAGCAAGAGTTCTCACTCTGCCCTGGTCAACAAGGCAGGCCATGAAAGCACCTTTAATAATGGCTCATAAACCCACAGTGGCATTTGTAAACGTCAGAATGTACTTTTAGATTAAATGCAATTGGTTAAGCCAGAAGCTCCCCTAACAGTAACTGCCTAAAGAGCGGTGGTTTTCCAAGTGTCCTCCCCCGTCTTCCCCACTAGCAGCACAAGCCAACCTGAGTACGTGTTAGCCATGCAAACTCTCCCTCTTCCCGCCTGGCAGTCTGGTTTACCAAACCCTCCAGGTGGTTGTGATTTGAGGGCACTGCCGTGGAAGATACTACAGAGGTTGCATGTGAAGCCAAGCATAAAATGCCCAATTCAGTGTGTCAGGCTATTGCACTTTGGTTGACCCAACCTCCACTTCCCATTGCCCATCCCTTTTAGTGGGCAGCCCAAAGAGTAGGACCCTGTTCAAATACACTTTCAAAAGGCCCTATGAGATAGGGCTAATGGAAAAAGTAATCTATTTTTTGTATGTTACCATAGTAACATAAAAACATGAAGCATCATTTATTCCTACAAGAAAGGTCCCCTTTGCAGGGGACACAGAGTACTATAGAAAAATCCTGAGGAAACTAAATTTTGGAAAAGCAAATATGGGAAACTCGGCTTCTAAGGCTCCATATACACCTTTATGGCCCATGTTCTAAGTGAACTTTCCCTAATTATGGCTGCCCAGTAAGGAAAAACTGTTCTGCGCCAACGCTCCCGTCTACACCGACATAATTTCCATGCAATGGAGAAACGTCTTACTTCATGCCTCCTCCTGGCCTCAGTCCCAAATCCATAGGGAAGCTGACCTGTTTCATCTCTACACATCCTTAATGACACTCACGTCCTAGGATGTCCTTCTTTAGGTCTACATCCAGTCCTACTTCTGGGAGCGGCCAGAAAAAGAATAATGTTTATTTCTGGATTATAAAATCTACTTTGTATTACAAAGTCAATTTCATTTTGAGTGTAACCCTTTATTTTTATAGTTTATAAATAGCTTCCACATTCAATCTCATTTGATTCTCATAACGACCTGTGAGGTGGGTACAGTTTTTTTCCCACTTTACAAATGAGAAAACTGGAGCTTAGTGCTGAACTCAGTAAACAACTGACCACTCAATGTTATGGAGGAAATACAAACATTTTACACAAAATATTAAAGAATTCACAATGTTCAAAAGAACCCCCAAACTTGCTTGAATTTGTCATCTGCCAAATGATGGTCACCAAAATCATTAGGCACGTTTGTAAGTTGGGTGGTATTTTTCTGGCTGAAGAAGAATGGGCGCAGGGAGATGAGATAAGTAAGACAGACACTCTCCCAGGTACAGAACTCACATACCAATAATGAGATTCTACGGGGTCATTCAACAACCATGATAACTTGATGGTGCTACAATTAATTAAGCTCTTCCTACATGCCAGGCTCCGTTCTATATTCATTAAATACATCCAACAACCCTATTAATATATCACCATTTCAGAGATGAGAAAAGTAAAGCACAGAGAAGCTAAGCCACTTGCCCAAGATCACACACCTTGCTCTCTGGACACGAAGGAGGATGTGTGGCTGGAGGTGCCAAGGCCCTCTGCCAGCGGTGGAAACCTGACATGGGAGGGCGGCCACCACAGGAACCTGGGTTACTTTTCCAGTGTTGCCATTTAGTCGTGTCTCCACACTCTTTCTGCCAAAACATCAACCAGTGCTCAGGTTCTCAGTGATCAGGAATATTATTAACTGGTTCCTTCTCTGAGTGTTCCCATGAAAATGGGAAAGGAGGGGAGAGGTCCTGGTTCTCCAGATCCTGGCTAGCGAGGGGACACTGGCTGATTTGCCCGGAACTGCCTTCAACTACTTTAAGAAAATCAGGAAATGTGCAAATTAAAATGCATATGGCACTAATGGGTATTTATAATTTAATAGAAAGTGATATGAGAGGCAGAGCTTCTAGTAAATGCTTTTTTTTTTTTTTTTTCCTTTTAAGAAATATAAATAGAAAGGAATCCTCACTGGTGTAAATTATTCTTGCCTTCTTTTTCCTTGATTTTTTTTTCACAACTTCTCATATTTGGGAATTGTACGAACCAGCTTTTACATATTAATCCGTCTTTTAAGTTTAAACATCTTTTTCTTAAAGAAGGAAACCAATACCAAGTTGAACTTTCAGGCAAAAGAGAAAAATTAGATGATGAATGAATTCAGTCTTCACGGGCAATTATACTGCGATTCTGGGGGAGACAACTTTCAAAAGGTGTCCTCAAATTTGTTTACCTTTATTATTTCCTGCCTCCAATTTTCACTGAATAATTTAAGACCACCTTGAAATCCCAGGAATTCAACAGAATTTAACGGCAAATTCCATAGTATTCCACATATCTCTCCTCAAGGCAAAGTCCCATACCTGGGAGATGGGACTACAGAGACCACAGTTAGGTGCCTTTTCATAACCACGTTCCACCACACTCTTTAATAATCCGGGCCCTACTACTTACTCACTGTGGGCCCTGTGGGCCTCACTTTCCTCCTCTATAAAGTGGGGATGATAATTCCTCCTTCATTAGGTTGGTGTGAATATTAAATGAGTTAATACCTGTGAAGCACTTAGCATAGTGCCTGACAGAGTAAAATACATGCTCAAGCTATTCTTTTTACTACTAGAATTTGCAAAGACAACTACTACAACAGGGAAACTGCATATAGGAGGCTTCTATTGGATTGGTAATGTTTTATTGCTTTAAAAACATCTAAAATCAGGACAACCATCAACACACAAAAATGAAAAGATCTTAGAAGGGGTGGGGGGAGCCGTCCATAATCATGCCACTTGGAACGTTTCAGGTGAGGATACTGCTGGGTGCATCAGTTTCACATGGCGTTAGATGGTGCCTGCGCTCCTGCTGGGGTTCTTAACCAGCAAGGGCAGGATGACAGGCGGGTCGGTGAACCCCCTGAAACTGTACACGAAACTGAGTAAGGCTGGCGCTCCGGGCATTTGAGGGGAGGGGTTCCATAACTTTTCTTATACTCAGATGTAGCGAGCAACGTGCTTTACAGGGTTGAACCCGGGATATTCACGAACACTTCATTTCACACCAGCTGCGGCAAGAACCAGGACACCTGGACTGTTAGTCTGCCATCTCCACACTGGACAGATCCGACTCCCGAGAGCCCAGAGCCCGCCAGGCGGTGCACGGCGCAGCGCTGCTCATCCCTGCAGACAGACCTGTGAACTTCACCACGGAAAACTCACCGGCTCCGCAGACCTGACCCGGGTTTGCGGGGTTTAACTTCCCTTCCCTTCCCCCATACCTGGTTCCCGTCCGAGAACAAACTCAAAGGAAATAGGCAACTCTCCGTCTAGGGTTTCACTCCTGCCCTCGGCTGACTCTTAAATCACCTCTCCCAGGGAAGTTAATTAAAAGAACAACTAATCCGCACAAAAATCCCAAATCTACCCCAAAGCTCAAGAGCTCTGTAAATGACAAGACTGAGGGCACCTCTCCCGACAGTGAACACCGGGGACGGGAAGGGGTACCAAAGGTAAGCAGGCAAGGTCTGGCTGGGGGTCGGCTGGCCACCCTCCGCGAGCTCCGCGGTAGGTCGCCGTCGCCAGGAAGCCTGTCTCGGAGGCAGCCAGGTAAGCAGGTACGTGTGGGCACCGGTATGAACACACAGACGCGGCGGATTAAAGTTCAAGCCCGAGCGCACGGCTCCCCTTCCTGGGCGGGCATTCTCACGCACGGCCCGGGCGGCCACTTCGTGGAGAAAGCCTGGGTGCTGGACAGTCCCCCTCTTTGGAATGGGCTCCCCAGATCCCTAGTAAACCCTACTGACTCCCCTTGCCTCTCAGCCTCCAACCCTTGAAAAGCATTAACCCGGCTCCACTCTTCTAGGCGGGCAGAGAAAACCTCCGAGAAAGAGAAATGAAGGGGACGGGGGAAAGCGGGCTGTCGCCGAAGGGAGGGGACGCGCCGCGTACGTACCCAGCGCAAACAGGGCGAGCTGTCCGGCCGAGGTGACCATTTTACGGGCGGCGGGCGGCGGGCGGCGGGCGCTCCAGCCTCCTGCCCTACCTGCAGTGCCCGAGTGGCGAAGCGGCGCTGCCGTGCGGGGAAAAGGCGCCGGCGAGGCAAGGCCAGCCCCCGCGCGCGGGCGGAGGGAGGACCGAGAGCCTCCGCTGGCTCAAGCGCTTCGGCTGTCCTCACCCTACTGCACGGCTAGGCGGAAACGGGAAGGCGGTTACCGTCACCTCTGTGCTGCCACTCTGCGACAGGGCACAGTGGACCACCCCCTCCCCAGTGGGGGTGCCCCCCTAGGGGCACAGGAGGTGGGGGTTTGGGCCTGGGGGTGGGACGCTGTGAGCACCACGCAGGGCGAGGGCGGTGGGGCGGGGCGATCGGGACTCCGAGCCCGGCCGCAGGAGCTTGGCACCCAGGCCAAGGAAAAGGCAGGAAGCTCCTGACTTCAGACAACACCCTCAGACTAGTAGCTCAGTGTGGTCCTGGGCCCCTGTGCCAGGGGTAGGTGCCTGCTGCGGAGCCAGAGCATCCCCAGCACAGTGGCAGCTTTCAGGCTCTAGGCGGCGGAACAGAGCCGTCCAGTGGGGGTCACCTGTGCCCACTGCGGCTGCAGAGGTCACCGGAGCAAGGGACATGGCCCTGAACACGACCTGACCCGTGAGCTTGCCGCCGCATGTCAAGGCTTGGCCTAAGGAAAGTACTCTTTAGAATCAAGTGAAGAATTTGTTAAACCAGTTGGCTCACCTGCGCCCCCATCCCAGCGAACACTTGATTCTAGGGATGCTTGCCTCCCGAGCACAGCTCCCCACATTCACAGGCAGGCACTTTGTTAAGATCAGTGGGTCTTCGTACATGTTGGCCTGGGGCTGATAATGACGATGGGTCTCTGTTTACAGGGCAACTGATGATCTACCACTACCCCCAGCCCACTCTGCTACAGACAGCTGAGGCCAGCAGTGGGGTAGCGTGCTGACAACTGCGCAGTGAGAGAGGGGTGTATGCGCTGGAGCTACCTGGGTGGCCCTTTCAGGATGTGTGACCTTGAGCTAGTCCATGGTGCTAGAATTAGGGGAAGTGAAGGCGACAGAGAGAAGAAACTCTGGGAAAAGAATGGAAGAACCATAAAGGTTCCTTGGGGACTGTCCATAGGGAACAGTAAACCATCAAAAAGCAGTGACCAGGGGTATTCTCAAGATGCTCTGAGCTCAGGTACTAATTCTCTTTTCTGAACCCCTTCAACATAGCTACTCCAGGTAGACCCCTTCTCCTTGAGGGGAGGGGAGGTGCAGGAGGAAATCTCTTGGTCCAAGGATCAGATTCTCAAGGTTGACTTTTTTGTTGTTGTTGCAATTTTTATTAATTTAGTTAGAGATGTTTCTCCTTTCTCCCCACTAGACACCCTCCTCCCAAATCCTCCCAATCTCCCCCCCCCCACCTCCAGCATTATTGTCCATGCCCAGTGGTTACCCATACATGCATAAAAGTTTTTTTTATCTCTACCCTCTCCTCCACCCCCCTCTTCTGAGGTTTGTCAGTCTGAACTCTACTACTATGTCTCTGGGTCTATTTGTTCATCAGCTTATTTTGTTCATTATGTTCCACAAGTAAGTGAGACCATGTGATACTTGTCTTTCCCTGACTGGCTTATGTCACTTAGTATAATACTTTCCAGGGCCCTCCATGTCATCTCAAAGGATAAGAGATCTTTCTTTCTTACAGCTGCATAGTATTCCATTGTGTATATGTACCACAGCTTTTTTATCCACTCATCTATTGATGGATACTTGGGTGGCTTCCAGATCTTAGCAACTGTAAATAGTGCTGCTATCAACATAGGGGTGCATATATTCTTTCTGATTGGTGTTTCAGGCTTCTTAGGATATATTCCTAGAAGTGGGATCACTGGGTCAAATGGCAGTTCAATTTTTAATTTTTTGTGGTATGTGCCCCTTGCAGGAACCGAACCTGGGACTTTCTGGCCTACAGGCCGATGCTCAATTTTTAATTTTTTTGAGGAAACATCACATTGTTTTCCATAGTGGCTGCACCAGTCTGCATTTCCACTAGCAATGTACTAGAGTCCCCTTTTCCCCACACCCTCGCCAGCACTTGTTGTTTGATGATTTGTTGATTAGTCGTTTTAATTTGCATCTCTCTGATGATTAGTGACGTTGAGCATTTTTTCATATATCTCTTGGCCATTTGCATGTCCTGTTTGAGAGGTGTCTAGGTTCTCTGCTCATTTTTTAATCGGGTTCTTTCGTTGAGTTGTATGAGTACTCTATATGTTTTGGAAATTAACCTCTTATCTGATGTATTGTTGACAATTATGCTCTCCCACATAGTGGGTTCCCTCAGGGTTGACTTTTGCTAAGATTGTTTCATATGAGCTGAGAGGCCTAGTTTCAAAAAGGACGAACCAGGCCACTGGCCTCAACATTTGAGCTGGAAACACCAGTGTGGACAGGGATTTTGAAAACAGTGTGAATTAACTTTTTTTTTTTTTTTAAGTTTTTTTATCCTCACCCGAGGACATTTTTCCATTCTTTGCTCAGATATAGTGGGAGGGAGAGAGAGGAACGGAGAGAGAGAGAGAAACATCGATGTGAAAGGAACACATTGAGTGGCTGCCACCCGCACGACCGACCAGGGCAGGGGACAAACTGCAACCAAGGTACGCGCCCTTAGCGGGAACTGAACCCAGGTCTCTCAGGACCGCAGGCCGATGCTCTAACCGCTGAGCAAAACCGGCCAGGGCAGTGTGAATTAACTTTGAGAAACAATTCCTTTCAAATCATTTGTCAGAGGATACTTTGCTGTCTTCTGAACCCTTAATGATCCATGGTGCGGGTTTCATGGTAAGTCCTGGGGTACCTATGTCCATACCCATGCATGTACAGAGCACATACACACTTTCTTTAATAAGTGGTCCCTGACTCCCTTCCAGCATCTATGTCCACCTCCTTCAGACTGGTCTTAACCTGTTCTAGTGGTTCATCTGTCTCCTTCCTAGACTAGCCTACCATGGCTACATGAGGGAAGAAGTCAAGAGTTCTTCAGGCTCTCCTGTTCTCCTGGATTCCCACTGGGACTGGAACGAGGACCCGTCACCTTGTTTCCTGCTGGGACACACACGTCAAGTTCACTGTGGTGGAGGGCTGGCTGCCCAAGCTGGTGGGCAGTTTCCCTTCTCTATCCTTTGCCTTAGACAAGAAGCTGGGGGTGGAGGGAAGTAGCAGCAGAATCAAGCCAATGAGCACATCCCCTCAGGATGGGAAAATCAAGTGATAATTTGCCATCTTGTAAACTAAACAGTATCCCAATCAAAGTACATTCTAGTGCTCAGAAATTGTTGATTCTCCCCCAACATTTTCAAGAGCCAGTCCATTCCTATAGTTTTATAAACCTTCCAATTTATTCAAGTCAAACATAATCGGGGGTTTTTGTTTTTTTTTTAAATGTCTATAGTATTTATTGTAAACTGAACTGAAATAATGTTTTGAACATATAGCTATAGAATGAAGAGGACACCTAATATCCTAAAATGTTAACAATCTGCCTTTGGCACCTGTGTACCTCATTTAATCCTCACAACACACTTATGAGAGAGATTCCATCTCCCTTTAATATAAAACAATTGGGACCCAGAGTATTTAGTAACTTACCCAGAGTTACAAAACCAGCAAGTGGCAGAGCCCATCTTTGAAAACAGAACAAGCTGGTTCCAAGGCCTATGTGTTGGCTTCTATGCTATGCTGCCTTGTTTTCCACATTTTAATAAGAATAATACTGAACTCACTGGGTTGCTGTGAGGACTAACTACAAGATTTTCTTTTTTCATTCTTGGCACAGGATTTGATATCAACAAATCTAGCTGTGGTTTAAAGAAAAACTCCCTCAGTGGCCATACTTTTCTCTCCTCTCAATCTCCGACCAATGTCGTTATTTCATCCTTTGCATATGAGAGCTTTGCTGGTACACACGCACATATGTCTGTGCATGCACTCAGACACGCCTTCCCACAGAACATAGTTTCACAGGTAGGTCAGGAGCTATGAATTTGTTTCTCAGCCTGTGGTGTAATAGGAGTGGGGGTAAAATTACAGAATGCGATTTAGAGCAAGAAATCATTTTTTTCCTAAAATGTGGTATGAGGCCTTTGTATTTTAGCAGTATGGAATACATTGCTCTTCGAGCTGAGTGAAATTCCAGTGCGCAGTCCTGGAAGCTATGTAGACACGTGGGTGCATTCTTTGTGCCACGGTCACTGTAGCTGTCTAGCTTGGCCACTGAATGTCCTGTTTCTGTGTGGACATGGAACCTAATGAATAGGTGGCCTTTTCACTAGGAACCCGCCTGGGCTGCGTTTGCACACATCTGCTTCAAATGGCCCTGAGCTCGAGGAGAACCCCTGCTGTAACAAGCCAATTACAGTTTCTTCTCTCTGTGCAAACAAGAGAACTATGTTATGTTCTATTCAGAGGCCAGTAAAATCCCACTGTCAGTTTTCCTTTTCCTTTCTTTTAGTACATACTTATTACAGAGCGTGTGTTTAAAGAGTCCCCTTCTTGACTGTAATCAGCCTCCTCCTCCATCCTGATTCATCTGTGGAAGTGATGTGGGCAACCAGCACTGGAGTCTTCCCTGAATGATTCAGGCCGCCTCTGTTCAGATGGGCAGTTACCCAAGACATTAGTGAGTAAACAGCCGAGACATTCTTTAGGAGGAAGCACAGCCATGGGCCATAGCACTGAGGGAATTACAATTCCTGCAGACAAGCCTCAGCAATGACCAGTCAGTTTCAGGGGACTTCAGGACCTTCCTTGTTGGTGGCAGCAGGCAAGGGGGCTCAGAGGGAAAACAGGAAAGGGTTACTGGTTCATAAGAGAGAGAGATTTTATAAAAGACTCTGGAGAACTGTGTATAGGCAGAGTGAGAAGATTTTAATTTAATTTAATTTAATTGTTTTATTTTATTTTTTTAAATCCTCAACTGAGGACATTTTTGCATTCATCTTC